ATGTGAGAGAGATACGAATGGCCCTTTTTTTAAGGATGGGGACACAGGTTCAGAGACAGAATCAACTTGCCCAAAGCTACAGAGCTTGCAGGTGAGAGAGCAGAATTCAAGGCTGAGACCCTCTGCCTCTCACACCAATGCTCTCTCCTCTCTAGAAATATGCAGTGCGTGCCCCTCCGCCCTTGGCTGCTGCCTGGGTGCCATTGCTGTCCCCTCTGGCCGGCACTGCCCCTCATCAGCACTCAGCCTCTCAGTAGGCAGCCCCCTGAGAAGCCGTGGAAGGGGAGCTTGGTTTTGAAACTTCTCCGCTTTGCCATCCTTAGAACTCAGCTTTATATTGTCCTTGTGGAAAGACTCCCATGCTGGGGTTGCATTCTGAGCCCGTCTGGCAAACATAGCCCAGAATTCTGTTAGTCCTCCGTCGGAGCAAACAGCCGCCAGGAGAACAAGTACAACAACACAACAAAACGCACTGTACCAACATGTTGATCACAGCATCGTGTATCGTGGAGATTATTGTGGACCACCATTCCTCGTGGTCCTGCGGGGAAGGGGGAGGCCAGGGGAGCTCATCAGAGGGCTGGCTTTGTGGGAGGGCCTGAAGCCAGGTTTAATCCTCTGTCTTTTTTTTTTTTTTTAAGATTTTATTTATTTATTTGAGAGAGAATGAGAGACAGCAGGAGAGGGAAGAGGGTCGGAGGGAGAAGCAGACTCCCCGCTGAGCAGGGAGCCCGATGCGGGACTCGATGCGGGACTCGATCCCGGGACTCCAGGATCATGACCTGAGCCGAAGGCAGTCGCTTAACCAACTGAGCCACCCAGGCGCCCCTAATCCTCTGTCTTAAAATTCTTCATTTTCTCTTTGAGCTTGTAAGTGAAGTCCAACAGGACACTGTGGGACGCACAGGAGCCGAGAAGGTAATCTGGAGAAAGGAAAGAGCTTTATACTTTGGGTGCCTTGAATGGCACCGTTTCCCCGACTTAGGGACAAGGGACACATATTTTCATTTTGCAGTGGATCCCACAAATTATGTAGCTGGTCCTGTGTGTAGCAGTGGGAAGGGCACTGGGCTGGCGTCCAGGACAGTGGGGTTCAAGGTTACTCCCCTCTAGGCCCACCTGTGAGGGGCTGTCCTGCTGAACTCTAGGATATTTTTTAAAGATTTTATTTATTGTAGAGAGAGCGAGAGAGAGTGCATGCAGGGGGAGGGGCAGAGGGGGAGGGAGAGGGACAAGCCGATTCTGTGCTGAGCACGGAGCCCATCCCTGGGCTCGATCCCAGGACCCTGAGATCACAACCTGGGCCGAAAACCAAGAGTGGGACGCTTAACCGACTGAGCCATCCAGGCGCCCCCTGAGCTCTAGGATTTTATGAACAGTATGTAGTCATTAGAAATGGAGAATATGTAGACTCCATCAATATCAAGAAAAGTCAGTCCCCATAAAAAAAAAACTGTGGTGAGAAAAGCCAGACACAGGAAGAAGACACCCCCCACACCTACCCCCATCACAGCAGGTGATCTAACTAAGGACCAGCATGGATAAGGCGGGAGTTTCACCAGGTGAAACAGCTGAGTTGAGTTTGTAAGGAATAGGTTTTTCGAAAGCTGGTGGGAAGAGAGCAAAGATGAACCTGCAGGAATTATGCCTGAAGGGGTGGGATTTGAGACAAGATGAGGGGGAGGTTTTCAGCTTCATTAGACCACACCCTCGAAACCCCCCCACCCCCACTTCCCTTCCTCTCTTTCTCCCACCTGATATCCCTTCCTTCCACTCCCCCGGGGCTGTGACTGAAGGGCGGAAGTGGGAGGGCCCAGGCAGGGGAGGGGAGGTGCGGGCTGGGAAGATGGGGTGCGGTGGGGAGGGGCTTGCAGCTCCCCTTCAGCCAGCCTGTTTCCGTGATTGCGGGCTCCAAGATACCTGAGGTTCTTCCACCCCAGATACAGCGACCCCCCCCCATTTCAGCGCTGCCAGGAGCCCCAGTGAAGTGAGAGGGATCAGAGGAGCTGCCTGCCAGCGAGCAGGGGAGGGCGAAGGCAGGTGGGAGGGCTGAGAAAGGGGAACAGGTGGGAGAGGGAAGGTGAGTCAGCACAGAGCAGAGCGGGCAGGGGTTTGCAGGCAGCCAGCGGGGACTGGGAGCCTCCCTGCAGCTCCGGGCTGCCTCCGGGCTCTAGCACCCCACGGGCCCTCCCCCTGGGCCCGCCCCCAGTGCCCACGCCCCGCGCTCCTCTCTGGCACCCCAGAAAGTCTTTGCTTTTCCAGCCCTTGTCAAAACTCGCCTCTGGTCATGCCCTTATGTTAACCTCTAAGATATGTCCCAGGTCAAAGATTCTGAGTCCAAGGTGCCTGTGTCTGAGGTCCTCTTCAGTGACCCCTGGTTCCCCAGGTGCCGAAGCATCCCTGGGAAGGCAGTTGGCCGGAGAGGATAAGATTGGGGAAGCCCCCCCGGGGGGGCCTGCAGGGCTGGACGGAGGGACATCTCCGATGAGTTGTGTGGGAGGTGAGACCCTGGCAGAAGGGCACCAAAGGCCCCTCCGTGAGCGTGGGCAGCTGGACAGCTGTGTTCTCGTCTTGCTGAGTGGTCTCCCCAGGCCCTTCGGGGGCCCCCAAAGGTCACAGGAGCACTCTGGGAAATCTGGATGGGGGCAGCCCCTGCCTCAGAGAGGGTGAGTGAAAGGGAAGCAGGCCTCCTGGCCTCTGTCTGTCCTCACCTTGGTTCATGTCAGCCCCTTAGTTCCTGGGCCCCCACAAGGACTGAGACCCCCATCTTCATCTACCTGCCTCTCGGGATGCGGTCAGAGTTTAGTGAATGAAGGGATGGGAAGGGATGTCTCACATGAAGGGAGACATTAGGACAAGTTATTTGTTGAGGGATTTGGATCCCAGGCTAGTGTCTTTCTCCAGGACAGAAGCCTCAGGTTCTCTTGTTAAACTGTTAAAGCCCGTTGGATGCACCATGTTTTACCCAAATGCAGCCATGTCACCAGTGCTGGTGAAATATGATCATTCACAAAGCAGCTCACAGCACCTCACAGTAGGTGAGCTTCGGCCTGCTGCTTCCCTGCATTTCCTGAGATAGTGGTGCCTTTTACCTAGAAGATTCCTGGGAACAGCGAGGGTTCCCGCTGCTTCCTTACACCTCGACTGTTGGGTATACAGTTGGCACGTAGACTAGAGGTAGAGCTGGAAGGGGCTCTCACACTGAAAGTTTCTGTGACAGACTACCACATACGGCCACAATGCCACTCTGGTGTGGACACCCTTTGCCACGGGACTTTTACCATGCTCCCAGAAGCTGGAGTCTGATTTCCCACCCTTTGAATCTGGGCTGGCCACGTGACCTCATTGGCCAAGAGATTGCGGTGGAAACGACGTCATCCAAGTTCAAGGCTAGGCTCAAGAGACCTCGTAGCTTCTGCCTTCTCCCTCTTAGGTTGCTGCCCTGAGATGCCATGAAGGAATTTGGAGGAAGAGAGGCCCCAGCCGATAGCCAGACCGACCACCTGACACGCGGGCGAGGCCATCTTGGACCTTACAGCTGAGCTGATGTTCCCCAGCTGCTGGAGTGAGCCCCAGGAAACTGGGCAAGGGAGCACTCAGTCGACCCACAGAACCTCGAGAAAGAATATAGCACTGTCGTCTAGGTTTTGGGGTGGTTTGTTACACAGCACAGGCTAACCGAAGCCCAGAGAAAGGAAGGGACTTAGCCAAGGTCTCACCCACAGTGAGACAAAGACCAAGTTCGACTAGGACCAGGTTTTCTAGCTGCCGAGAGCCCTTGCCACCAGCGTCCTGAGGCCAAATTCATTGGCCCAGCCTGGTGTGTGTGCCTGGAGCAGGTGTAAGCAGACAGACCCCTCCCTCCCCCCCCCCGCCCCCTGCCCTAGGTTACAGAGGCTTAGCTGCCACCCACACAGGGCTTTCCTGCCCATCATCTCTTGGGAGGGAGGGGTGGTCCTCCCATTCTACAGATGATGAAACTGAGGCCAAGAGCAGATGGGCAACTTACCGGCAGCCACACAGCGGTGAAGTAGCAAAGCTCCAGCTCAAGCCCAGGTCCTCTGAAGCCTGCTCAGGATCTTTCCCATTGGCTCCCAGGAAGGAAAATGGCAGGTGGTAAGGTCCCCTCCAGGGCTCAGTGTCTCAGAAAGGGGACACATACATATCACACACAGACACACTCACATCATGGTCTCTCTCTCTCTATCTCTTCTCTGCTTTTCGTCTTCAACCAGCCTACCCTAATGGACCATATACTTTATTAAAAATATATAGTTACAAACTCCATTGTCAATCTGGGCTGGACCCCGGGGATCTGGAGGGACCACAGGAGGTCCTCATCCTGCCCCTCGGGGTCCCACCTCTGTACCCAAACCCAACACCATCCAGGGGCCAAGATGGCTGGCTTTGGGGACCAGCCGGCTGGGGGGGGGGGGGGGGGAAGGGGCTAGGCTTGCCAGGCCGGGAGAGGGAGGGGTTCACAGAGAGGGATTGCACCTCCTTGTCCTGCAGTTACAAATGGCAGAAGGTGGATTTGGTGCCTCCATCTCTCCATTTATAGATATTTACAAAAGAAAGTCAAGAGCAACTGGTCACAGTCATGCAAAAGAAACGCACCCCCACCCTCCCTCCCCCCACACTAACCCCTGCCCACCCCAGAACCCTGTGGTGCCCAACCCCCAGCAGTCCAGCCGCCTTCCCCAAGGTTCTGAGAGTAAAGGGGGCACGTCCTTGAAGTGTCAGTGGGAAAAGGGTGGTGGGTCTGGGGTCCCCGAGATGCCAGTGGGTAGGCTGACAGGGCAGAGGGTATCCTGGGCCCTTCCCAGGCCTGAGCTCTGGAGTCAATAGGAAGGGGTTCCCCAGTCTTTGAAGCCCCCCCACCTCCCTCCGGAAGGTCCACGGAGCCAGGGTCAGCTCTGTCCTGAGTGTGGAGGGGATGTCCTGGCATCCCACCCCCTGCAGAGGCTCGTGTGGGAAGTGATGAAGGCGGGGCCTGGAGGTCAGATGGCGGACTCCCTGCGGTAGGAGATGTTGTCCAGCGGGAGGGTGGCTTGCATGCGCTCCAGATCCAGGTGGCTGCCAAACTCCAGCATTCGGATGATGCCCGCCTCCTCCTTGGAGCCCGCCTCCAGGCCCAGGCCCGCGGCCACGGCAGCAGCGGCTGCCGCCTCCTCCTCCATCTCCTCTTCCTCCTGGCTCATGAGGGCCAGCTCGTTCTCATAGCAGAAGGCACTGGGCGGGGGCGGCGGGGCAGGCAGCACGGTGATCTTGCTCTCCTGCAGCTCCCGGGCGGAGCAGCAGGGCGTGCCGGCCACCTCGTAGGTCTTGTGGAAGCGCGAGTAGTCCACCTTGTAGTGGCTCTTCTCCTCGAAGACCACGGGCTCAAAGCGGTGGCCCCACAGGATCTCACTGGCCAGGTAGGAGCTGCGGGCCTGGGTGGTCATGGCGGTGGCCTCCACCATGCCCTCGAGGATGACCACGATCTCAAAGTCCTCCGACTCTAGCTCCTCCTTGCCCATGCCATAGAGCGGGCTGTCCTCGTCGATCTCGTGGACGATGATGATGGGCGACACCAGGAAGATGCGGTCCAGGCCGATGTCGTAGCCCACGTTGAGGTCCCGCTGGTCCAGTGGCAGGTACTCGCCCTCCTGGGTCATGTAGGGCTTGATGAGCTGGGCCCGCACGTGGGCCTCCACGATGTGGCTCTTGCGCAGGTTGCCCACGCGCCACATCAGGCAGAGCTTGCCGTCGCGCACCGAGATGACCGCGTGGTGGCTGAACAGCAGCGTCTGCGCCCGCTTCTTGGGCCGAGCCATCTTGGCCATGATGGTGCCGATCATGAAGGAGTCGATGACGCAGCCCACGATGGACTGGACCACCACGGCAATGACCGCCAGCGGGCACTCCTCCGTCACGCACCGGAACCCGTAGCCGATGGTCGTCTGCGTCTCCACCGAGAACAGGAAGGCGCCCAGGAAGCCGTTCACGTGCATGATGCAGGGCTTGGGGGCCGTCGGGGCGGCCGCGCCACCGCCCGTCGGGGCGCCCCCTGC